CGGTCCGGGAGCTAACGGGGACCGTTGCGGTGCAATCGGCTTGTCCGGTTGCAACCGTTGAGGCTGGTACTAAACTCTCTCTGCTCTTGTTTTCAGTTTCTCCTGAGTTGCTAAGAGGGGTTTCTGTCCCACCAGTGTTGCCTGACAGGATTCCGGCTCCGCTCTGGTTGCCCGCCTGGGTTATGGTTTGGCAGGAGCCTCACTGGCTCATTCCTCCAGTTCCATCCTGGCTATCTGCTGGGGTTCCTGTATGGTTGGGGCCCTGCTGGTTCATCCTGCCAGCCTCACCTTTGCTTTCCACCCTGCCGGTTCCACTCTTACACCCTGGGCTACTTCTGTTCCCTGACCCCCTTCCTTGGCATGGTCCTGGCCCGCTATACCTCCGCCTGGTCTGCCTCAGTTCCACCTCCTTCCTGAACTTTTTTGTTTTCTGGTGGAGCATCTGATATCCGCTCCGTAGAGGGGGGGTAATGTCACAGTGTCTGGTTGTGGTGCCCTGGACTGGCCACTTGAGGGCGCTCTCCTGTTTCTATGTTATATGTTTTGAACTCCATTTCCCATAGTCCCTTGTCTGTCTATTCTGTTCTGATTGTTATCACCGGTTAGTTAATTACTCATCTCATCTATATATACCATGCTCACTCTGTCTGTCGTTGCTGCTGTATTGTATTTGTCTTCTGAGTTAGTTGTCTAAAGTTACTTCGTGTTATCTGTTCTCTATGTGTTGGATTACCTTTTGCCATGTTTTTGATTGTTACTTTCAATAAACAGCACCTGGATCTTACCTGGTTTTCTCCTGGCATTCCGTGACAGTTTAACCCAAACTAAAGAATAATAATGTGCATTTGATCAGATATAACCAAACAAAAAAATAGATACATTTCTTTTTCCTCATTATTTCTTGTAGCAATTCCCTCTCAGTCACACACCTGAGAGCTCATTATGCAGCTCATTATGCAGGCCTTTGTCTTCTCAGGTGTGAATCACTCATTATACATGACCATTCACGCCCCCTCGCATATTCCTTTTCTACACAAAAAGTGTCTTAGAAAATTTAAATCAATATATTGTTTTCTGTGAGTGAGTAAACAAGATGATTTTCACATCATTCTGATGAAAAAATTCTAGACTTCAAGATCTGTTCTCAATAGTCCTGTGAACAAATGTTCTGTATGTGTTTTATGGCCTTATTTCAGTGACTTTAAAATTTTAGTTTTTCACTAAGCACGCATAAACGTTGTTTTCTCAAAAACACAATCACATACATACATGCTGCTCACATATTATTGTAGCCCAGTTTGTGCTGATTATGGTGCTACTAAACTTAGTCATTAAAATGTTTATTAGCAACTGAAAAAAGCACAAATGTCAGGACATGTCAAAACTTCTCCAGGGCCCAAAACACCCTCAGACCCCAGAGGGTTAACATACTCTGTTAGCTTAGATAAATTAGAAGTTTAATCTGGTCTTGTTGAGATATATAGTTGAGTATCATCAGCATAACAGTGGAAACTAATCCCATATTTTCTAATAATATTACCAAGGGGCAACATGTATATCGAAAATAGCAGAGGACCTAGGACAGATCCTTGTGGCACTCCATATTTTACTGGTGATAATTGAGATGACTCCCCATTTAAATGAACAAAATGGTAGCGATCGGAGAGGTAGGATCTAAACCATCTTAAAGCCTGCCCTTGAATACCTGTATAGTTTTGTAATCGATCTATGAGTATGTCATGATCTATAGTGTCGAACGCAGCACTAATTGTATAACACAGTAACTGTATAACATTTACATAATGTGCATGCTTCTTGTGTCTATCTATCTATCTATCTATCTATCTATCTATCTATCTATCTATCTATCTGTCTGTAAAGTATCTCATCACCTTGGAATTATAAGGTTCTATCAGACATTTTTGTCAAAATTGAGTTATTCACATATTATAACTGCCATACATGTTGTTTCTGTTATTTAACATGTTTTGTTAAATTAGTTTAATCTATTCATGAATATTGAGCGTTTGTAACTAGGAACTAAAGTACAATTGCGTTACACACGAACACTTTTTTATGGTGCAACAGAGAAAAAGGACATACATTTAGGTGAAAAGGTATTCTCCGTGTGTGAATATAAGAGTTACTCGTGTTTTGAGCAAAGAAGTAAAGAAGATGTTTTTGTTTTTTGTTTGAATCGGGTATTTTCAAGTGAACTCATTCTCTCTTGGTTATATGCAGCCAGCGAGGTATATGTATTACGTTTGTATTTTCCGAGTGTATTTGTATTTACTTCTTTAAGGTTTATGTGAACGTGTTTCTTTTACATTGTCATACTGTAGTTTGACGGTGGAATTCATTGACGATGAGTGAGATGGCGAAGATAAGGATGACAAGCGAAATAAATCCATCGGTAACCAGAACCATGGTCTCGTTTATTTCCCAGAGGGAATGATACATATTATTCTTCTGTAAGAAAATATTTACATTATATTTGCTTTTAAAGTTGTGTACATTTTGGGACCTTTTTTTTTTTTTTTAAAGAAAACAAAAAGGTTCTATCTACAAAGGAGTGCAAAAATGCAAACATTTTGAAGCTCAATACCTCAGAAGTGTTAGTGGTGTGTGTGTGTGTGTCTGCATGAAGAGTTCAGATGCCAAAGCATCAATACACACACACACAGAGACATAGAGAGAGAGAGAGAGAGAATATGGACACAGATATGAGAAAAAACACTTTTTTGAACTGATATCTTGAATCTGAGGTGTATCCTATAAGAAATGTGTTTCAGTGTGTATATCTATATATATATATATATATATATATATATAAATGTGTTGGTAAAACTTTACAATAAGTATTCAGACGGTTCTGTGCTCTTCTATAACTGTCTGGTTTGGGTCAGCCAGCAAATTAGATTTAAGAAGACTGCAACGGACTGTTAGGACAGCAGGAAGGTTCATTTGTGTGCACCTGCCCAGTCTTCAGGACTTGTACAACTCCAAAGTGAAGAAAAGGGCAGGAAACATCATCAAAGAACCCTCTCACCCTGGACACATCCTGTTTGCACTTCTCCCCTCAGGCAGACGCTAAAGATCTCTGTGCACTAGAACATCTAGGCATAAAAACAGTTTTTTCCACCCATTCCATCTCCAGCTTAAACAGCTAACACATGAATCATTAACTGTGTTCTGTAATTCATTTCTGTAATTCCTTCTCCATCTTTAATCATTGCCTTTTCTCAAGTATTATGTAAATACATATGCATATCTCTTTATTTATAGCTGTATATAGAGTAAATATTGCACAAATCTGTACATACACTGTAAAGATATTCCATAAAAAAAACAGATAATGTACTGGGAGAAAATTACCAGGATATTTTCTGTTAAATTTACAGACATTTCCCTCAACATTAAAATGGAAAATTCTGTAGATTTACATTTTCTTCTGTACCATAAACGGACAATCCATTATGCAGAAATTACTAAAAAATTATAGCATAGGCCTATCTTTAGTAGCAAATAAATCCAGCACAATATATACAAATTGAACATGGTTTATTTTTACCTCATGTAAACATTCTTAAAAGTGTGTTCAGTAGCTTTTATTTGCCTTAAACAGGTGAAGACAAAAATATTATGACATCAATTAATTTAACAATGTGTAAAGCACCATTGAAAATGCTTGTATTGTGGAACACTTTTTAGTTTTAAACAGCAACGGGCAAATAAAAGAAAACTTGAGCAGGTACTTGTACAATATTGGTGTTGCACCAAATAGTGGTCACAAAGATAAACTTCACTGTGAAACAGTGAAAAAAACCCCCCGCTTTCTCACCCGATTTAAAGGGGTTTTAGCCTGAATAAAATGCTAGTAGCAGGATTGTAAAATGAATAGATGTGATTATGATCATTTGATAAAATGAGAGCAGAGCGCGCCGTACGTTTGAGATCATTTTACTTTGTTGACTGTTTCCTATCCCGTCACGGAGACCGCTGAACATGCCTCTTTAAATGGATTTGTGGTGCTCGTTGTTGTATTTTAAAACACAATTGTATTCAACTGACATTATGGCATTTAAAATAAAATTATTCCAAACGTAACTGTGGCACATGTGGCTGTGCTGCGCAGTCAGTGAACCACTTCCATCTGTGCTGCTGCAGCAAAACACATTGTTGCTCACATGAAAAATATTTATCTGAGTATTATGACCAGTACTTAATTTGATCCTGCTCTGGAAAATGTCAGATTTTGAATTTTTGCATTGTGGTAGGCCTATTTGTTTTTAAAAATCCGGCATTTACAGCTGCATTAGATAGTGAAAGTGCATGCCTGCATGGTGGGTGCATACGAGGACGAGCGAGCGTGGGTTTGGCTAGATGTATTTGTGGAGGTTATTGCTCACGTCTCATTCAGCACAAAACCAAAGGTTTCCATATTCGCAATGTATTTGAATGTTAAGATACTATTTATAATGTAAACTATGCTTGTACTTTACACGCATTCACATATAGACGGAGAAGATCATCCTCTTCACATGAGCATAAACGTCCTTGGCATGACAGCAGAGTGGACCGGTATACTACGGTCTATTTAAACTGACCAGTGTAACCTATTATATGTTTGGTTGATTGTATTTTATTTTGATAATGAATAGACTGCAATGTAAGTTTGAATTGCTAGAGTATGTGAGGTGTGTGCCAGCGCAATCGAACAGCTGAAACATAAAAAACTAAATTTTTGGAGTAAGATATAATCCGCAAAAGTGTTTACTTTTATTTTTGCACACTCACAATAAAAACAGAAGATTTGTGCTTTTGTAAAATAAAGCAAACAAACAAAATGAGCATTGTCATAATTTCCTTTCCGTGAACTTGTTTATGGTGCACCGCGCCACACTTCTGTTTTAAATCTGTTAGCTTAATTATTTAAGTCAGATATATTTAGCTTTTTTTTTTTATGAAAACAAACTGTAATTTTTATTTTAGGCCAGTAGTCAATAGGGATGTGCATATGACAAAATATTTATGACTTTTACCTTTTGACCTTTCCCCTCCCCCACGCAGCCCACCCACATCGCGACCACCCTCATCACAACCACCCACGTCGTGTTGACCCCGTGACCTGTTAGATGTCCAGATGTGACCTATGACCTCCGAGGGGGAAATATGATGTTTGTTCAGATGTTTGTCCGTGACTGAGGATGACAGGAGATAAATGAACTCCTGAGGAATGTTTTTATAGATTTTAATGGTCCGTTCCCACATCTGGGGGTTTGCCCATCTGGGGTCCGCGTGTCCGGTTGCATTCCAAGGTGCGCTTAGATAAATAGACCCGGGTGCTTCTGTGGAAAATCAGAAAAGAGCTGTGAAACACATAGACATGACCGGTTTATACTCACCTAAAACTCCTGAGAAGGAATGGGATGAAGAGATTATGGAAAATCTGACTTTGGCTCAGAGAAAGCCGTACAACGGTAATTTGTATTTGACAAAGTTTCTCCACGAAAATACGGATTGTGTGAGAGATTATTTTTTTCTGATCAGCGGATGCATATTTGGGCTACATATTTCACAAATCATCTCGAACGGTTACGCTCTACACATCTGATGAGACCAACGAATTTGTACAGGATCAAGACACCTGCCTGATATTTCCTGATAAATTATTATAATAATCTCGATTGATTATTTTTCAATTGTATCTGGAAAGATCTGACCGATTGTGGAGAAGAATCTTTGTACTTTGTGGAGTGGGACGGGGTTGCCCCGAATATCCGGTACCAAGTGGTCGGTGATCACTCCCAAAAGAACCCAGACGATCATATTCGCCTGCGAAGATGAGACAAAGCTTAGTGGTTGCTCGGGCGGTGACCTGCATAAGGAATATCATGAAATGTTCACCCTCCAATTTTTGTTCAAGTGGAGTGATCTGCATCTGCTGAGTGCGCTTTTTTCGATCGTAAACAAAATGTTCAAGTGGTGTGATATGCGAGACGGATACAACAAAATTAAAACGCAGCTGTTTCACCCCGAGAGTTACCCCGGCAAAAGTTCAGGGGCGTTACCGTCCCCGCCCATTTACTACAGCCATTATAAAGAACAGTAAGTCCCTTCCCGCATCACATTTCCAACATGTCTCAAGAAGACTCTTTATGAAACAATTACACTCCTTTCAACCTCGTTGCTCCTAATGATAATGCTATCGATTATATTCCGACAGACGAACACCGCTCACCCGACCTGCGCAAAGAATGCTTGGATAAATTCTGCACGGAGCTCGGATATTGTAACCTGAGCTACCTAAAGGACCTGTGCACTACCTCCGCCCACACAGGGTTCGATACCACAGACGGGTGTTTCAGCGGGGTCGGGTTCAAAATCATAAAAGTCATGATCATGCTGCTGCTGCAGCACATCATAGACAACAAACTGAGGGAGGAGTGCGAGGGATGTGCAATGGACCATCCGAGCCAACTGCAACATTCCTGTCTGTTTGAGCCTGCCACATACTATTTCGACTCATGCTTCGATGAACTGTCCCGCAAACTGTTCAAACCCGATCTTCAGACCATTATCGACTTCAATCTACGCCACTGCGGTTTAATGACCAACAACAATCTGAGGATTCAAAGAACTTCCGGCGCTATCCTGCACGAATTAAGAGACGAAACATTCATCGTCGCAAAACTGCATGAAATCAGGCAAATTACTTTTTAATTTATTAAAAAGTAATTTACGACGCCGTGGATCTCTGCCAAAGCAGCGTGCCTGACTGTGACCGTGACAACATGGGGTCTGTGTGTAGCGTGAAGAATTTTTTCAGAGACATCGTGTTTATCCCCCGTTATAAAGAGCAGATGATCGAAATGATACTCACGGCTATCGAGCACACGTGTGATCCTGAGAAAGATTACGAGGGGCCGGGTTCAAAATCATAAAAGTCATGATCATGCTGCTGCTGCAGCACATCATAGACAACAAACTGAGGGAGGAGTGCGAGGGATGTGCAATGGACCATCCGAGCCAACTGCAACATTCCTGTCTGTTTGAGCCTGCCACATACTATTTCGACTCATGCTTCGATGAACTGTCCCGCAAACTGTTCAAACCCGATCTTCAGACCATTATCGACTTCAATCTACGCCACTGCGGTTTAATGACCAACAACAATCTGAGGATTCAAAGAACTTCCGGCGCTATCCTGCACGAATTAAGAGACGAAACATTCATCGTCGCAAAACTGCATGAAATCAGGCAAATTACTTTTTAATTTATTAAAAAGTAATTTACGACGCCGTGGATCTCTGCCAAAGCAGCGTGCCTGACTGTGACCGTGACAACATGGGGTCTGTGTGTAGCGTGAAGAATTTTTTCAGAGACATCGTGTTTATCCCCCGTTATAAAGAGCAGATGATCGAAATGATACTCACAGCTATCGAGCACATGTGTGATCCTGAGAAACATTACGAGGGGCAAACGAGATGTATAAAAAATCTCAAGAAACAAATGGACATTATAAGAAGAGCTACAGATACATGGAATGTATTGATAGACATGTGCGTTAACAGAGTCGATCCACCCGCTGTAATGCTGAGAAAAATTCTAGATGAGTTATCCGCTGCCGGTCGAGGGATAAGAGTTGGCGAGGTACTATGTATGTGTACATATGTAACTGATGTATGTGTGAAGCTTGTTTCAAAAAATGAGAAAAACAAGGTCTGTGAAATAGTTGAAATTCTGGTCGACTACATACTAGATCGGGGTATATGTCATGTGTAAATTGTCTTTACTGGTTAGACAGTCTGTAACGTCATTCTATCAGTTTTTATTATTACTTATATCATACATTCATTATGTAACCATTTTTTTTATTATATTCTTTTACCGTCACTATGTATCCAATTTGAATATTATTCTTGTCATTATGTAACCTTATTTGAATTATATTCTTTTACTGGCACTATGTAACCAATTTGAATTTTATTCTTGTCATTATGTATCCAATTTGAAAAACTATTCTTGTCATTATGTAACCAATTTGAAAAAACTATTCCTGTGATCTCTATCTCTCTCTTGCTCTATATACATATATATATATATATATATATATATATATTTTTTTTTTTTTAATAAAAGACAGAAATGTGACGCTTGTACGTGTTATTATTTTAAGATTGCCAAATAAGAAAAATCACACAAAGAAATTCAGTACACAGAGGCATAATAATATAATTGAATTGTTGTTTATTTAAAATTGTGTTAAACCGAATTAATACATACATTGTAAAGTGCTAAGTGGTCACGGATAGCAATCCACTCACTTATGTCCTTACCTCGGCCAAACTCGATGCCACTAGTTATAGATGGTTATCCAGTCTTTCAATGTACAATTTTAAGATGCAGTACAGAGCGGGAGCTCAAAATCAAGATGTGGACGGACTGTCTCGTTGTCTGAATGGTGGACCCTCAGATGACCTGGAATCTAAAAAAGAGCAAGAGAGAATCAGACAATTTATTCCACGGCACTTTGCAGATCTTGAAGGCAGCACTAAAACCATCTTGCCGGAAATAGTGGGGGCCATCTGTGAAAAACATCAAGTCAGTCAGTCCCTTGATTCTCAGCCCTTCCCACTAACGTTAATAGAGTCCCTAAGCATGAATGCAAAGGCCTTACCTCCAGAAATCCAGAGAGAAGGTGTCCATGGTCTTCCCGAGATACCTCATCTGTCTGTAGAGGATCTGATCAGGAGGCAGTGAGCAGACCCTGAAATGAAAGAGGTAATTGATTACCGGGAGTCAAACAACAAACCTTCAAACCTGAAATTCCACTCACCTGCAGTAACCCTATGGATGAGACAATGGAATAGACTTGAGCTAAAGAATGAATTGTTGTATAGGAACAGGATGGACCGAGACAAAGCATTGAACCAACTGGCCTTGCCAAAAGACCTTCGTGGAATTGTGCTTACCAGTCTTCATGATGATATGGGTCACCTTGGTCTGGAGAGAACCCTCGATCTTCTCCGTTCCAGATTTTACTGGCCAAAAATGGCTACGGATGTGGATGAGAAAATCAAAAAGTGCGAGCGCTGTATTTGTAGGAAGACTCACCCCCAGAAAGCCGCCCCTTGGTTAACATTCAGACCCAAAGACCTTTAGAACTGGTTTGCATGGATTTTTTTTAACACTGAAACCAGACAGCAGTAACACCAAGGATATTTTGGTCATCACAGACCATTTTACTAAGTATGCTGTGCTTTCTTTTATACAGTGCTTTCCGTAGGCGTGCCCATGTTTCATACATAAGGTTATTGTTTAACAACTCGTTTACCTCTTTTGGCTCCGTCTCCAGCCTGCCACCCAGAAGCAGACAGGAGGCCCCAATTTATGTTTCATGATTAGAGAGGCCCCATCATATATTTTGTCTAATGTCCAAATAGGATGTGCAGCTCTCCCCCTTGTTTTAAGATAAAACAATGTTATAAGCATGAGCGTGCAATTGGTTCAGTGCTTGCCTGTGGTTGTCACAGTTATGTAGTATACAACAGACATTAACATTCAAAACATAAAACATGTAACATCACAGAAAATAGCATAGTTGATCTTCATTCCAGATCCTTTGCATTGTAGAGGGCCATTTTGGTTACCCTCAAAAATCAATTTCCCATCAACTTGACATCTTAGAATTTCCATTTGCTTAGCTGTGGCTTTGATAACTAGTGACCTTGATATAGAAAGTACACAGTAAAATAGTAATCCTCCTATTAATTCTGCAATTTCTAAAAACATTCCTAATTTAGCTGACCATGCTCCCCATGCTCCTAACTTAAATTAAACCAGTCCCACATTTGATTATCTTTTCCAGCGTTTTCTTTAAGTTCAATCCTTAGGTTTTTCAATTTGGTCATTACTTCAGTAAAGGCTCCTTCAGGAGCAGTATTATTTGGTATGTATGTACAGCATTGATCCCCAAACATAACCATACTTTTCCTTTTTCAGTTAACAAATAATTTTTCTTAATTTTTTTTAAATAGAAAGCTATTCTTTTTTGCTATATCATTCAGCTTGTTGCATCCAATTGCTCTCCTAGAAGTGTTAAGGCCTCATCAGTGTAATTAATAAATATTTGTTGATTGTACTTTATGTAATAAATCCATTCTGTAATTTTATATTTTATTTTTGTAATTCAAATTAATATCGATTTAAACTTTAATTTAACTTCGTTTGTATTAAATTTGTTAGGTATGCCTTTAGGTTGACTGATTGAATTTATATAATCTGTAGGGTCTTTTTCATCTGCTGTTTTGGTTCTAGTTTTTTCTTTATTTGTTGTGTCCTCTTCTAGAGAGATATGACTCATTTTATGTGTCAGCATAACCCTAGTACATAATCCTGACCAATTTTTACCAAATAGTCATCTTTACATCGTGGTATTTTCAATATGTTGCTGTATTTCCTTTAATTTTCCTATGTCAATAGTTCCCTTCTTTTTATAACATTCAAATACTTGATCTGCCATTACTGGTATTTTTCCTTGTGGCTTTTGTATTTATTTATTTTTGTATTAATTTTTCTTTCCATACTCTTGGCCATTTACAGGTTCGTATGCACTGTAATTCAGTTGCTTCCCTGATAACAACAGACTCCGGGGCGGATCCGCCCTCAAATCGGCAGCTCCGCTGTACTGTCAGACTCTGTTCGGTCATTCGCCCAGAATATGCCCCGCCTCCGGACAGCGCACTGTCAGTTAGTGGACTCATTATGCACACTGCGCGGATTAGCAATCCGAAGTGTTTTTTTTATTTTTTATTTTTATTTTTTTTACCGGTGCCGTCTCAGAAATCCTCCTCAGAGTGAAGAAGCTGCGGCCGGTGTCCGGCCTGAAGAAGACTGAACTTGGTAAGAATACTTTTAAAATATGTTTTATTTGTACAGTTGCCAGTAACATTAACGTTAATAAAGTTGTTAATTGCTTTGTTGTAGTTTTACATTTTTTTAATTGCGTTGTGGAATGTCCAGTTAAGGTTAGCTCTTCAGCATTATTAGCATTATCATAGATTTGAGTACCTTAAGTTAATAATAGGAATATTTGGATGGGATCTCCCTTCTTTCTGTGAGACGGGTAGTTTAGTTGGCTATCCAGCTTTTAATCGTATATGTAACGTTAGGTAATTTTTCACCCCTCTTCAGGAATAACTGCAGGCGAGAATAAACTTTTTTTTTTTTCATTTAAATTTGGTACTAGAATATTATTTCAGGTCTATTTTTATTTATTTCTCGACCAATATATTCCCCACCTCTCCTCGTAATGTTGTTTTAGTACATATTAAATAAACTAGCGGACTCATTACGGAGGCTGGGCGGATTCCCAATCCGAATCTAACATAGCGTCTCTGAAATCAAATCAAATCCTCCTCAGTGGTGAAGCTGCGGCCGGCTGAACACGGCAAGAATACTGTTTAAATATGCTTTATATGTACAGTTACCAGTAACATTAAGGATAATAAGGTAGTTAATTGCTTTGTTGGCATTTTTAATTGTGAAATTGCATTGTGGAATGTTAGCTCTTCAGCACATTAGCATTATCGTAGATTTGAGTAATATCAGGCCTATTTAGACGGGATCTCCTTTTTGTGAGACGCGGTAACAGTTAGTCCTGAGCGTATATGTAACGTTAGGTAATTTTCACCCCTCTTCAGGAATAACTGCAGGCGATATTATGTTATATTTTTCATTTAATTTTGGTTCTGGAATATTAGCTCAAGTCTATTTTTGTTTATATTTTGACAAATATATTCCTCACCTCTTGTAATGTTGTTTCAGATAATTTATATGAAATTAAAACATACTAAGTTACTACGTGTGTGTGTTCTGTTGCAGCTTCACAGCTCATTCAAGTGCTCCAGTCTGGTTTTTGATTCTACATCATCCTTCAATATTCTACTTCATATTTAAAAGTAAGATAGAGTTTTAAATTTGATTTAGCAATCTAGTTTGTCAAATACTGACAATGATCCACACTTCAGCTTTTAACGTGTAATCCTAAATGTGCAATGTGAAAATATTCATATCAATATTTAAGGTTAAATGTTTACAAACCTACTTTTACATCCTACATTTAACAGTAATCTTTGGTTGTGGTATAGGCCTACTAATTTGTGTCTATTTTTCTTTACAAATATATTCCGCACCTCTCCTCGTAATGTTATTTCAGATAATTTATATTAAATGAAAAAATACTAAGAGTGTGTGTGTGTGTGTTCTGTTGCAGCTTCACAGCTCATTCAAGTGCTCTGGTCTGGTTTTTGATTCTACATCAACCTTCGATATTCTACTTCATCTTTAAAAGTAAGATTAAATTACTTTTTAAAAGAGTAATTTTTTTTAAAGAGTTTTAAACTTGACTTAGCCAACTAGTTTGTCAAATACTGACAATGATACACACTTCAGCTTTTAACGTGTAATAACCTACCCGGACAGCACACGTACGTCTGGCCGACATCGGCCCAAGAGTGAAACGTCGGCCTCATTATCTGAAACATCGAATAAGTGTCGGCCAGGCATAGTCCGATATAATTCGGTCAGTGCTCTGTTTCTCAGCTCATCAAGCGTCGGCTCTGAGTCGGCTCACGACTGTTTGCTGGAGCCGTTATTCGTCTCTTTTTATATAACGTAGCAACCTACAGAGAGAAGAGACTCATCCCGCGACATCTGGGGCTTTCAGGTAAGATTTCACTTGAGCTAAATTAGAAAAAAATACCATTTTGTTAATTCTGTGACACTTCAAGGTAACGTTACAAGCACTTGGTGTGCTACAGCACAGGCGAAGAGACTGGGGCTCATTTCCAACTAACGGTAACTTGTTTAGCTAACGGTCACGATAACTTAGCGATCTTTAATATTATTGTTAGCGCCTTAATGTATTTCCAGCAATTTCTCGGAGGGAAAATGTTATTAAAGCGAAGTCCTAACTGCTTTTCCGCCGTGTTTTTCACTGTTGTAGGCTAACGTTACCAGAAAGAATCCGTTTCTACGGTGAGCTATGGTTTCTGTTGCTTTTCAACTACAAAACTGAGTTTAAATTAATTATCGAATAATAATTGTCTGAGACTGTAAATTATTAATGTGATGTTTTAACTCTAGATGTTTATTTGTGTAACTGCTGTGAGTGCGTTGAGCTCTGCGCGAGCTGGGAGCAGAGTTGCCATGGAAACGTCTCTCGCTGCTGTTTTCACTGCTTTCAGGTAAGTTTAGTCCCTGAAATCACACAAATATTACATACAAACGTTCCTGACACGTTTCTTACTTGTAATTGACATGTTTCTACTGAATATTTATTTTATATAAATGGTTTAGCCTCTTCGAAAAAGTCCGTTAGCATCTCAACCGTTTTCAGTCGAGCTAGGCTAACTCTGTAGATTGAGCTCTTGTTTATGAAACTTTGGGCTTTTAATCAAATCTTCATGTGTATGAGATGTTTTGATTGATCTGTAAAGGTTTTGCTGGCGATTTGTCTTTGGTTCTGGAATATTAGCTCAAGTCTATTTTTGTTTATATTTTGACAAATATATTCCTCACCTCTTGTAATGTTGTTTCAGATAATTTATATGAAATTAAAACATACTAAGTTACTACGTGTGTGTGTTCTGTTGCAGCTTCACAGCTCATTCAAGTGCTCCAGTCTGGTTTTTGATTCTACATCATCCTTCAATATTCTACTTCATATTTAAAAGTAAGATAGAGTTTTAAATTTGATTTAGCAATCTAGTTTGTCAAATACTGACAATGATCCACACTTCAGCTTTTAACGTGTAATCCTAAATGTGCAATGTGAAAATATTCATATCAATATTTAAGGTTAAATGTTTACAAACCTACTTTTACATCCTACATTTAACAGTAATCTTTGGTTGTGGTATAGGCCTACTAATTTGTGTCTATTTTTCTTTACAAATATATTCCGCACCTCTCCTCGTAATGTTATTTCAGATAATTTATATTAAATGAAAAAATACTAAGAGTGTGTGTGTGTGTGTTCTGTTGCAGCTTCACAGCTCATTCAAGTGCTCTGGTCTGGTTTTTGATTCTACATCAACCTTCGATATTCTACTTCATCTTTAAAAGTAAGATTAAATTACTTTTTAAAAGAGTAATTTTTTTTAAAGAGTTTTAAACTTGACTTAGCCAACTAGTTTGTCAAATACTGACAATGATACACACTTCAGCTTTTAACGTGTAATAACCTACCCGGACAGCACACGTACGTCTGGCCGACATCGGCCCAAGAGTGAAACGTCGGCCTCATTATCTGAAACATCGAATAAGTGTCGGCCAGGCATAGTCCGATATAATTCGGTCAGTGCTCTGTTTCTCAGCTCATCAAGCGTCGGCTCTGAGTCGGCTCACGACTGTTTGCTGGAGCCGTTATTCGTCTCTTATAGCGACCTACAGAGAGAAGAGACTCATCCCGCGACATCTGGGGCTTTCAGGTAAGATTTCACTTGAGCTAAATTAGAAAAAAATACCATTTTGTTAATTCTGTGACACTTCAAGGTAACGTTACAAGCACTTGGTGAATTTAAAAGTATGCATTTGTTTGAATAATGTGATATTATAAATTAATTTGTTGTTTTTTATTTAAGGCATTTATGCAGCAGCAAAAGAGGCATTCTCTGCTCTAGGACCACAGTGCAAAAATTGGCTGAAAAAAACTGTAGCCATGGGGGCAGATGGGGCAGCTGTAAATCTTGGACACAAGCAGGGGGTAATATCCCTTGTCCAGGCAGAGGCAGGGAACTACATTGTTCCTTTCCATTGTATGCCTCACAAGTACGTAAACATGAAGCTAACTATCAGTCCTATAAATTTCTTGGGTAGCCTTTTCTGATTACACTTTTCTGTGTAGGCTTGATCTGGCTCTGTTGTCAGTGCAAAAGGAAAACCCAATGATTGGGAAAGTTTACAACCTCAATATGGTTTGGAAAACATACCATTTCAGCAGCAAATCCATGAGGGAGCTGAGGGTCTTTGGGGAAGACCTAGGCATAAGGGTGAATTCCCCAAGTGGAGTAAAAGGAACGCGCTGGCTATCACATGTATCTAGATCGTTGGAGACACTGTTAAAACTGGAGAGAGAGGAGGTTATCTTTAGGACCCAGCACAGTTTACTGCAGTCTATGTGCACATGCACCACTTGGCCAGTGCATCAGCAAACACAGACATTGCTGGAAGGGCCAAAAAAGGTAACTATAGTATTTGTTGAAATGTAATTATTTTTATTTATTGTTGTTATCATTATTGAGTGCAATTTACATTTGGTTAAGCAAGTTTTCTCTTTGGTGCTGTATTTCAGATCAAGAAGACTATGGAGGATGGAACTTTTGTAGCCTTCTGCCACTTTCTTGCTGATGTTTTTTT